GGCACTGGGCATGGGCTTTAAGGCAACAGAAGCTAGGCTGGCCAATCAGAGAGCTTGTTGCATCATAGGACCAATGGGAGGAGGAGAGAGAGTTAAGTCGATTTGGCTACCGTCCAAACGCTGCCACCATCATTCGGATTGTGGGGATTCTCTGGTTCTTGCATTGCTAGGCAACCTCTTGCTTGATGTATTCTTGTGGTATTTACACTTTCCTTCCCTTCCTTATCTTCTTTGCATACTTTACACCTCCATATTTTGCATAATTATGCACAAAACCCTGCAAATGTTTAAATTTCCACATTAACCCTAATTTTGCATAACTTGGTTGTTTTAACCTAATTCACTCACACATTTAACCTAAAAACCTAATTCAGTAACGCATTATTTAGGGTTAATCACCTAACACTTGGAGACCTTGGAAGGAGTTAAGCTGTTACATCCATGGAACGCTGAGCATTTGAAGAAGTTCTTCCAGTAATCTCTCTAGATTCCTAGTTAGGGTAAAGTTTAATTTTTCATGTAGCTAGTTTCAATAAGGCCATTTATGGCACGTCCTTTGAATAAAGATTATCATTCACAATGGTCATCTTTGTTAAAAGTATTTGGGTGGCTCATAAGCTCCTAGTTTCTTATTTCAAGAATAGTCTATCTAAAGGAAAGAAGAAGAGCCCTTTCTTTAGCCCAAGCCTACTAAGCTTTTTAGCTCTCTTTATGCTCTTCAATTCTTATGGAGCTCTTCAGCTCTCTCTGAGCCTTCTCAACTCTTCTTGAGCTTTTCAGACATTCAAGCCTATTGAAATTTTAGCTCTCTCTAAGCTCTTCTGCTCTCCACGATTCCTAGGTCTACTAGAATTAGAAATGTTTTAGTTCTTTAGCTTAAAAAAGGTGGTGCTTGAGTTTTTTAGCTCTCTCTGAGCTCTTTAACTTAATTCTACAAGGTTATTCACCTTCCATAAGTCAAGGGGGATTGTGAATTTAGCCTTAGCATAACAATCACACTATGCAAAGGAAAGATCGAGTAGCTTCTATTTCACCAAAAGAAAAGAAGAATATATAAGTTCCATTTACAATATGTGATGTGCAAAAAGAAAGAAAAAAAAAGGGTGGATCAACCCTACCCAACTCTATGATTAAGCCTTGGAATCAGTTCAAAGCCCAGTCATGTCAGGAGGACAAGATGATGATGTTTTCCTTCAATACCTCTTCTCAGACAAAGAAGAGCTCTCTCCCCTAACTCGCTTCCAATCAGTTGGGTCCCTCACTAGCAGTTTTCTATCATTGCCAAGAGCCACCCCCGAAGAGTCTACAACCATAAAAAGTGAGAATATGCTCGGTGTAGGAAATTAGCTCTGCAAGATTGTAAGAAAAAAAGTTTTTCACCTAAAGGAACCCTCCTCACAAGGGAAACGGGACAAAGCCAAAAGGTTTGAAGCCTTTTAGCAGTAACCAATCTCCTTAAAGACCTTGGGCCACTGTCAGGAGCACCAGCTATTATCGTTGTCCATGTGAACTTAATCTAGGTCTCTCCTCTACAAAAATAGATAACAGAGGATAAGTTAGTAAAAAAAGAGAAGCAAGTGTCTCGAAGAGGAGATTCAAAGGCCTTTTAACTCACTCATGTTAGTTTGAGTGTCCCAAAGCTGGGGAACACAAAGAGCCTCTACCACTTCTCCCTCAAACCCCCAGGCATCCCTAGAGATAAAGAAAAAGCTACTCTCCTAGCCATCTTTGGGAGTAGGAAGGTCAAAAATCAACTCAGATGCCCCATCACTCCTGCCAAAGCAGTAAAAACTAGGAGAAACAAGGACTAAATGAAAAAGGTGAAGAAACTCAGGCATAATAGGAGAAGGGTCTCGTGTAGACTATAGATGTCGAGAATCCCTACTAAAATAGCCCATCCCTCCACTGAGATCCTAGAGGGACATAAATTAAAGAAACAGAGAATAACCCTAATGAATGATAGCAGGGGGAACCTAAGGCTGGCTTTAAAGGTAAACTCGAAGAAACACCTTCTGGCTAGAATAATTGTTGCATGGAGAGTCTATAGCAGGGATATGAATCAAAACCTCCATAGCAAGGCCATAACGTTCCCTAATGATTGCTAACCGAGCCATGGACATGTCACTAGGTACCCTGAGGGTGGCCCAATTGGGATCCTTCAACACACAAAGGGCCTATCTTCTAAAAAGTGCAATTTGAGATAGCTATAAAGTAGTATCCATGCCAATGAAGAGAAAAATGGAAGTAGAGTTATACATAGCGAAGGAAAAGACAAGAAAAAAAGGGTGCATAAAAAGTCAAAGAAGAAAGGGTTTAAATAGAAATTCTTGAGTGAAGGTTCACTTCTATAAGTGGAAATCAATGCGACAGATGTGTACTAAATGCACTTAAAGCTCCCAAGTTCATCGCTTCGTGGAGATGAAACGACGTGCTGAGTGGCGTTACTACGTTGACAAAGTGTAACTATCACATACATGTGCTTTTAGTACCGCTAAGAAAACAACTCATATGTATTAAGCCCCTCTATAATGATGGTATCTTCAATTCATCACTTAGCCTAGCTTAGATTAAGTCCAAGTGACTCAACAGAAACACAAGGTTCTTAGCCTAGTTTGAATTGAGTCCAAGAGACTCAATAGAAACGTAAGGCACTCAGCCTAGCTCATAATATGCCAAAGAATTTAAGGCAAGCCAAAGCTATTCCACGAGGTTAGGTACAAGAAGGAGAAGCAAACACAATATAGAGCAGCACAAATATGGAGGAAAAAACCATTCATTAAAAAAAATTGGACACTACTTGATGCTTTTCGTTGTAGTATCCTAATCTCCTAACATCGTCCCTCAATGTGTATGGCTTATAGGAATGGGGGAGTATCACTCTCCCTCGGAATGATGCAAGAGATGGGGCAACGGAATGGTGGTAGAATGAAATGAAAAAAAATGTGTGTGTTAACAAAAGCGCTCTCCAAGCGCAAAGAGTCTTTTGAGTGTCGTGTTTGACTTGGAAAAGTATTCCAAAGTCGACTCCTCAGGGAAGGAAAGTTCAAGTTTGGTGAAGGTGATTTTGTGAAAATGAAAATTGTAAAATCTTTTGTTGTTTTGAGTTTTGGTGTTTTGTGTTCCTGCTAAAAATGAAAGGAAAACTAGTGTTGGCTAATCTGAAGAGGTCATTCCAATGAAAATGGCAAGTCAACTCGAAATCTTCCTCCAATGGTGCATAGATGAACGATTGATTCATGGGAATTGAGGGATGAGATGGAAGTGAGGATCCAAGCATAACCCATGACCAGGCCTATAGGTTATCAAAGACTCACAACTGCATCCACACTTAACTCAGTCAAACCGAACTATCGTACACGGAGAGGAGGAAAGAAAATGAGTTGAAATGGCAAACCCAAGAGGAGGTCTCCCTTGGGTTAGCCAACTAAAAATCTAGCTACTCATGAAAGCACGACGGAAATGCAAAAATGTAAAGAGACATAATGAAGAAAGAAAACATGGAACTTAATGTATGAAATCTTAAACTATGAAGAAAAATATGCAATACCCATTTTAAAGCTAGGAAATGAAGAAAACTTAAGACAACAATGGTAGAAACTAAGATACTCAATTAAACTTCCAAAGCACTTGAAATAAATGACATTAAAATTAAATAATGAAGTTTACAAGAGTCTTACAATAAAATACAAGTGCAATGATGGAAGAAAATGTAAAAATCTAAGTTTTCTATCTACTATTCATCATCTTCCTCGTTGGAGCTTTCTAAGCTTAGTTAGCCACCTCCAAACACTTGTGGAATGCTGAATATATGGTGAAGAACTCTGCATTTTTGTCCATAGGGGTCCCCCTAGGTGTGTGAAAGGCCTCCCATCCATAGGAGGCTGAGTTGATGCCTTCCACAGGCTAGGAACAATCTAGCCTACAACACACCAAGTACCGGTACTGCATACCGATAGGCTCTGCTCTGGACTAGTTTTTGTACAATTATTATAACCTTTGATCCAACCATCCAATTAAGGTACAATTTTGACACTATACAGAGGACATCCAGTTCTACAACTGTTATGGTTTGAACTNGGAGGCATGTATACATGTAGAATATGTTAGGGGGCAAGTGAAAGAATCAATGGTGGAACTCCTAAGCAAGTGGAGCATGATTTGTAGATGTTCTGGGCATTCAGTAGAGAGTACCGGTATTGATTATCGATACTGCGAACACTAGTAGCTGAACAGTACCGGTACTGCATACCGATAGGCTCTGCTCTGGACCAGTTTTTGTACAATTATTATAACCTTTGATCCAACCATCCAATTAAGCTACAATTTTGACACTATACAGAGGACATCCAGTTCTACAACTGTTATGGTTTGAACTTCTTCAGATTCAAAGTGGATCATGGTCAAAAAAGAGGAAAACTGAGGTACTGCAACCAAACAGTGTGGGTGCTGGTGCCTATGTTACCAAGCATTGATACCTCCTTGATTTCTTTCACTTTTAAGCCTCCAAATCCTCAAGAAATGTGTTCATATCTTCACCACACATCCATACTCAGTTGCAAGGTTCCAAAATACATGATTTATGCTATAATTACTTGCAACATCAAAAATTCAACATTATTTATAATTTTTGCTAACTCTAAGTACTTAGATGCAAAGTTGAGTTAAAATGCATGTAATGAGGCCGTTAAATAAGCAATATTTTGTGCTCATCAGACACCTCATTACAAAGAAGGAATGGNAAATGTGTTCATATCTTCACCACACATCCATACTCAGTTGCAAGGTTCCAAAATACATGATTTACGCTATAATTACTTGCAACATTAAAAATTCAACATTATTTATAATTTTTGCTAACTCTAAGTACTTAGATGCAAAGTTGAGTTAAAATGCATGTAATGAGGCCGTTAAATAAGCAATATTTTGTGCTCATCAGACACCTCATTACAAAGAAGGAATGGGGGTCAAAATGACAAGACAAAAAAGGGCCTACAACCTTGCTAGGACTCCTTCGCTAGATCAATGCCTTCTGTAGCCTCCATCGTTGCTTGATTAGCCTTCCCCTTCTCAGTCAGGTCAACAGTATACCTAATAGTCTCCATAGCCAACTTGGTTCCCCCCTCAGCAATTTCTTTCTCCTTATCCCTAAGGGATTTTTTGCTCACCACTACTTCATCCTCCTCTTTTTTGTTTCCACTAGCAACTGTTGTTAGATTATCCCTTGGAACAAACTTAGAAAAGTCTAGGCTGGAGTACTACTTCTAGGCACACTTCCAAAAGTTGTCAAACCCATCCACATAATATTTAACAACCTCTTCTTTGAAATCATTGGAACCTTGATGCTTGCTTGATCATTTCCATTGCGGTATATCCTAACCTCTAAACATCATCCCTCAATGCGTATAGTCTATGTGTGGNAAAGTTGTCAAACCCATCCACATAAAATTTAACAACCTCTTCTTTGAAATCATTGGAACCTTGATGCTTGCTTGATCGTTTCCGTTGCGGTATATCCTAACCTCTAAACATCATCCCTCAATGCGTATAGTCTATGTGTGGAGGGGAGTGTCACTCTCCCTTGGAATGATGTCAAAAGAAAGGGCAACGGAATGGTGGAATAAAATGTGTGTGTGTGTGTGTGAAAAAAAATGCTTCCCAAGCGCAAGAAGACTTTTGTGTGTCGTGTTTTACTTGGAACCATATTCCAAGGTCGTCTCCTTAGGGAAGGAGAGGAATTGTGTAGAAGGTACTTTTGGTGAAAGAAAAGTGTAAAATCTTTTGTTGTTTGAAGTTGGTTTGTGATTTTTGTTGNTGAAAAAAAATGCTTCCCAAGTGCAAGAAGACTTTTGTGTGTCGTGTTTTACTTGGAACCATATTCTAAGGTCGTCTCCTTAGGGAAGGAGAGGAATTGTGTAGAAGGTACTTTTGGTGAAAGAAAAGTGTAAAATCTTTTGTTGTTTGAAGTTGGTTTGTGATTTTTGTTGTGATGAAATTGAAATGAGAAACAAGTGTTGGCTAATCCGAAGGGTTTACTCCAATGTGAATGTCAAGTCANTTGTTGTGATGAAATTGAAATGAGAAACAAGTGTTGGCTAATCCGAAGGGTTTACTCCAATGTGAATGTCAAGTCAACTCAAAACTTTCCTCCAATGGTGCATAGATAAACGATTGATTCGTGGAAAGCAAGGGATGAGATAGAAGTGAGGATCCAAGCATAACATGTGACAAGTCTATGGGATATCAAAGACTCACACGATGTCCTCACTCAACCCAGTCAAACCAAACCGTCGTACACCGAGGGGAGGAAAGAAGATAAGTTGAAATGGCATATCCAAGAGGAGGTCTCCCTTGGATTAGCCACCTTAAAAACTTAGCTACTTATGCGTCNAAAGAAGATAAGTTGAAATGGCATATCCAAGAGGAGGTCTCCCTTGGATTAGCCAACTTAAAAACTTAGCTACTTATGCTTCAGGTAAAGACAACAATGTAATGAGAAGACATCATGAAGAAATGAAGATTGGAGCTAAGCATAAACAAAATGCACAAATATAATTTTCGGATAATTATACATGTTCATTACCTCTTACTAAAGATTGGATGAAAAACTACTCACTTTTCATGGCTTTGGTAAAGCTAGAAAAGTGAGTGATGCTCATCCATCCTAGTAGAGGAGTTGTAAGGTAAAACATATTGCACACGGAGCCAATCTTCAGCAAAGAATGAGTGAATCACGTTCCACCCTTCACGGCTTTGGTAAAGCTCTAGAAAAGTGGAAGAGTTTCACTCCTCTAAGGGAAGAAGGAAGCTCAAAATAATGGAAACAAAAGAAAGCAATAAATTAAAAGAAATCAAAAATACAATAAAAGAAGAAATATATTAAAAGAAAGCAATAATACAATAAAAAAAGAAATATATTAAAAAAAAGTAATAATACAAGAAAAGAAAGCAATATTGACTTTTCGAGGATTTTTTACTACCAAAAGGTGCTCTTTTCAAGAAAGCAATAATGACTTTTGATGGGTTTTCCACTACCAAAAGATGCTTTTTCAAGAAAGATAATACAAGAAAAAGGATGATCTTTACAAAACTCAAGGGGTGGTATTTATAGGAAAAAAGGGAGGGCTTGAATTAAACTTTGATCCCCCTATGTTTTGAGCTTTTGATAATTGGCACCCTATAATTTGTAGCTTTAATAATTGGCACCCTATAGTTTGTAGCTTTGATAGTTGGCTCCCCAGTAGTTTGTAGCTTTGACGCAATTGGCTCCCCAGTAGTTGGTAGCTTTGATGCACAAAACCCTAAAAAGAACAACAATCATTGTATTATCCCTAATTCACACACTAAACCTAATTTGATTTATTTTGACTAGTTTAACTTTGTTTAACTAACACAATTGACCCATTAAATTATGCACTAATTAGGGTTAATCAATACTTCTTCATAGCGGCCTTGTTGGCACACTTAATTTCTAACTCTTTTGTCTCTAGCATTAAGGAGAGATCAAGAATTTTTTGTGAGAAGACGTCTTTCTCCTCCTCAAGGTCCTTATTCCTCACGAAAAGCTAAGTGGCCTCTGACTTGATCCGAAATGTGTACACCCAAGTGTAGGCGGTCAAGCTGTAGTAATAATCCGATTAAGTCCAGAGTCGAATCCATAGGAATAGAATAGAAAATTCTCTCCAAGACTTTTCTAGACAAAATATAAGATAAGTTCAAATGTAAAACAATCACTCTTTTGCTTGAGGATCAGAACATGTAGTTAATCATCTAGTTTATTATACTTGTGTTTTATAACTCAATTAACTCCCGTGTCAACAGCAAGTTCATCGGAAGGTAAAGATGGATTGTGAGAATTAAGCACATGATTCCGATGCCTTTCTAGAAGTTGACAAGAATTTCTTGTGCCGAGATTTAACCCATCTACAAACAAGCAAGTGTTTCTACAAGGCATCCAACCATGGCATTAGTGTTACATCTGTAGATAAAGCTCAATAACGGTGAAGATTGAAATATTGTTATGAAGATCTAGCCGAGGTACTTGCCTTAAACCAACAAGTCTTTCCCTGAAAGAGTCATCCATGACATAGAAAGAACTCATAGTTATACAAAGTACCTTAGCTTTGCTAGATACTTTCAATCATTCAATAAGTGAAATATAAAGCATTAAAGCATAAAGAAATGCACAAATATAACTTCCGGCTAATCAATACATATTCATCACCTCTTATTAAAGAGTGAATGACGAACTACTCACTCTTCATGGCTTAGGTAAAGCTAGAAAAGTGAGTGATACTCATCCCTTCAAGTAAAGAACTTACAAAGTAAAGTACAATAAGCAAGGAGCCGTTCTTTGACGAAAAATAAGTGAATCACGTTCCACCCTTCACGACTTTGGTAAATCTCTAGAAAAATGGAAGAGTTTCACTCCTCTAAAAGGAATGAAGCTCAAGCAATGGAAGTGAAATAAAAGAACATTGAAAGTAAAAGAAAGCTAGTTACTCTTGGAGGGTGACTTCCTCAACCAAAAGATGGAGGGTTGCTTCCATAACCAACAAGTGGAGGGTTGCTTCCTCAACCAACAAATGGAGGGTTGTTTCCTCAACCAAGAGATGTAACACAAGAAAATATAACATACATCTAAGATTAATCAAAATGAGTGGGAGTCTAAGCCTCCATACAGAATCCTTACTAGTTCTTGGTGTAGTACTAGCCTACAAACCAAGCTCTAGCTCCTTACTTTACAAGAGAAAGATTTCCCCATGAAGCTCCCTTAATGAGAGTATTTATAGGCAAGGAAGGGGAGAGGAGAGATAAGAGAGGATGAGTGAATAGTTTATGTCGCCCATAAAAACCAACTACTCTATATGCAGTCTGTGGAGGAAGTTCGAACATGAGTCGACGTTCGAACGTTGTCTTCTGGTTTGGCTTTATGGACATTCAAACGTTTTCTGACGTTCGAATGTGTCTTCTATTTTTGCTTTAGGGGCGTTCGAACACTAGATGGGATGTGACCACATCACTTAAGTGGTCTTAGTCTTCTATGGAAACCCACTTCCACACTCCATGTAGGACTTGGAGTTTTGCACTCATCACTCTGGTCTTCAGTCAAATCATGTGGACGTTCAAATGATAGTTGGCGTTGAACGTGGTACTCAAGTACTTCAGGGCCTGCCTTCTTGACTACAACACACCAAGTCTCAGCAATCTGGTCTCCTCATAGTTCAAGTGGACGTTCGAACGTGAGTTGTCATTCAAACGTGCTTGCTTTGTTCCAACCTTCTCCAATTTTGTTCCCTAATGCACTGGTGTTACACTCATGCGTGATATTTGTTGTTTTTGTACTTTTATTCACTTTAGATCCTGAAATGTCATCACTTAAACTCCATCAAAGCACAATTAGTCCCAAAAAAGCATAGTAAAATGCTAACTTTAAGCACTAATGACACCCTCTAACCTAAATATTGCTAGTCTCTAGGAATACAACAACATTGTAATGTAAATCTATTTCTAATGCCTTTTTTGTAGGTCATCCGGTTGCATTTAGCATATGCAACAAACCGCTGAACCACTAGATTTGCCCTAATGGACGAGTGTTGTCTCGTGAGGGTTTTCAGTGAAGCTACCCACAAACTCCAGTCGGACAAATGTGTATTTGAGGTTGCTAGTTGAAATAAGTTAGCAGTGTGGTCGTTGAGACACCCAACCCTCAATTCTGACTTACATCCCGCATGTTCCTCGTTCATAGGTATTTATTCTATGCAAAAATTAGCATCAGTCACATTGGCATTTGGGATTCCCCAAGTAGTAGGAATGGTCATTCTAGAAACAAGAGTTGTTATATAACAAACATTCTATTTTACCACCTTCCATAGATAGCTTTGATTTCACAAACCTTTCTTAGAATCTGATTATAGTGACTTGTTTCTCACAGGGCATGTAATCTGAAGATGGCCAATCAAAAAATCACATGTGTAATTAGTAAAGGAGTGAAGTTTTAAGGGAATAAACTAATCATGTTTTGGCATAATCTCATGGAGGAATATTGATACATATAAAGAAATGTTATTTAGCATATCCCGCATGTAGTCGATGACCTACACATACATCAGACTTGAGATCAATTAGGGCTTTTTGTAGGTTGTAATGTGGCAAGAGGTCAATGGCTNATAAGAGAGGATGAGTGAATAGTTTATGTCGCCCATAAAAACCAACTACTCTATATGCAGTCTGTGGAGGAAGTTCGAACATGAGTCGACGTTCGAACGTTGTCTTCTGGTTTGGCTTTATGGACATTCAAACGTTTTCTGACGTTCGAATGTGTCTTCTATTTTTGCTTTAGGGGCGTTCGAACACTAGATGGGATGTGACCACATCACTTAAGTGGTCTTAGTCTTCTATGGAAACCCACTTCCACACTCCATGCAGGACTTGGAGTTTTGCACTCATCACTCTGGTCTTCAGTCAAATCATG